TTAATACTACATCGCGTCCTTTTACGATTCTTGTCAATTTATTGACATACAGTAGGGACCATAAGTATCCACCACCCGGCATTACCCAAAATCATACTATAACGATCACCCAAATTTTCTGGGCGTAAAATGTAATACAACACCTGATCGCACATTTATACATGTAGTATATCGGATATTGTATGTTCATAACTTTCACGTCCTAAATACAATCAATTATTTCATAACACATATCACAATATTCAATAATCTAATTCTTGACGTTTAGCGATCCGATTTGAACAAACATACAACCCAGTCGAGGTGAATCAAATGGTATGGTGCATAACATCAAACGTAACTAATTGTTATATAAACTAATGTAATTAAATACATACTAATATATATATATATATATATATTATGTATGCAGTCTGCACAAAATTTCTGTTATATAATTTACTATGTTTGCCAAAACTCAGCAGTAAAAGCGCGTCTACTTCAATGAAATCCATCAAATTATTGGTAATGATCCTTCGCAAAGCTCGACTATGCTGAAGCAATAATTAAAGAAGCACAAAGAGCTTCAAATGTAGCCGGATTAGTGACAAAATTGCAGGGTATAAATTTAAATCCGGATGAACAGTTTATGTACACTTTTTCTTGCATATGCAACAGAATCTGAAGTGTTAATTGTCTAATGGTTGTATTTTCTCTGATAACTGAACAAAATATTAACTACACCACGTACAGTTAGAGCTCGTTATTAAATGAATTTATCATTTCCAAGAGTATGCTTTATATCTTTAATACAATATAGTAATACTTCTCAAACATGTATAGATGATTTTTATTCATTTAGTAGTCTAGGACTTTAAGGGAGGAGTGATCATACGGAGAGGTGACTATAGAGGAAACGACTGTATGTTTTAGTTTGAAGTTTTCTAATTCGATAATTTCACATTAATATTTCGTTTTAGCTTCTAAAATCTATGAACTTTCAAGAGTTGTGATAACGATAAGGAAAGCGTCAAATATCAAGTGATCTTTGGGATTGTTGTCGATCCTCAGGTCCTACAGATTATATTATGACTCATCTTGATCAGGTGTCTAATAAATAAAAATCACCTGATAGGAATTTATATTACATGTACTTTCATTTATCAATATTATATTAGAATTCAGTTATTTTTTCTTGTATTAATATTTAATTAATTTCTATATATGTAGTATAAATATCTATTATATTGCTTGTTAAGAGAATTATCACTATCTTAATATAATTTATACACCTATTTGTTCATTTGTTGAATACTGATACAGTACATCAAAAGCGTCAAATCTCCATCTGTTTAAACTAGTTCTATAAAAATATGGCTCTTTTTCAACATAAAACACACATTCTTTATTTATACACACACATATATAAATAGAAGTCATTAAAAGATGTTCTGTCTAAGTCATCATTTATTTTATAAAATAAATACTGGAAAAATACTCGATACACTTGTTGTCAAGCTCACAATTATCATAATTGCTATTATATCATTACTCATTGAAGTTAATATACTCATTGTTAAAAAATAAGGCTGCTTTCTCTCTCTCGAATTTGTAAAGTTAAATGGTCTAGTAAAAATAATAGCATGCTTGAAATCTAATGAACATGCAATATCTTTTGAATGGAAAAATTTATTAATATTTTGCAAAAGGAGATTTTGGAACTATTTACAAAGCAATTTGACTGAATGGACCAATATCTGATCATCACAAGAGTAAAATATATAAAGTTGTATTAAAATTATTATATTATAGTTTATAAACAAGATAAAATTAAAGTGCACATAAGATGCTTTATTTTTTAATGCTAATATGGTTAAGTTTTTCAAAAATAGATTCAGACTGCTCTAAAGTACACTTATTATAATAGTGCTTGCCATATATAATGAGAAAAATATACTATTTTTTATTTTTGAATTATAAAAACTATTTGAATATATATATAAATTTACAGATATATAATTTAATATATTGCAAACAAATTTTCTCAAGACTACTTAATAATATATCATTTTTATTATTTATAATTTTGATAAAATAAATATATTTCATTATTAAGTTGCAGTTATTCTTGAAAGAAGCTCAATATCTTCTTATTTTTGTTAATTTTATCTGTTATTTTACAATAATAATCCAGTTTTTTTAGTTTTAGAAAAATCTTAGTTACATAAAAGTGAATATTAGGTTTAAAAGAAATTTAAATATAGAGCTATAATAATTATATAATAAAATATTTGTTCACAATTCACAAGAAAATGATGCTCTTTAATAAGTAGATTATTTTCTTATAACTAGAGTCTAGCTCAGAGAATAATTTATAATACTTTTTGTACTTGGACTATTATTTGCATTTTTACTTTATTTACAAGCAAATAAGCTTTCTGATATTAGAATTTTTGCATAATTATTATGGATACTTTCAGTGATTTTATGTATTATAGAAAGTGTAATATTTATTTTGATTTTTTATTTAATTACTATTCTAATTTGACAAGATATATTGTTAATTAAGACCAGATGTTAAGACTGAAAGAATTACTACAGATATTAGATTATAAAAAAGAAAATATTTCTAATATAATATTGTATTATTGTAATATCTGGGCTGGGTTAGCTTTGATAATATTTTAAATTTATATATTAATAATTGTAAAATTAATTAAAATTTTGATAAATGCTTGATTATAATTAATTATAAACATGTCTTTTTTCAAACTTTTAGACTTATAATAATTCTCACATTATTATTATATCTGATTTCTGTATTAGATACTTTTCTTTATTGCTATATTAATAGATGAATAATAGCTTCAGATCACCAACTATGTTATCATCTCGAAATCAAATCCAATCACAAAAATTCATGTGGTAACAATGAGATAATTTTCTAATATTTGGTATGATAATAGCCATATTTGAGATGATTCCAATTGCAAACTTCTTGTTTGTTTGGACAAATATTATTGATACTATGTTGATGAATTGCTGATTAAGAATAGTTACTGAAATGATGTCATCTAATTAAATAATTTGCTGAAATTAACTTGCTGAAATTAAATTTAAAATTATTTTGACTTATTTTATTAGTAGCCAAAATTGTTTTCTGAAATTATTTGAATTCTACAAACCAAAACAAGCATTTCTAGATGGTTTTTAAATATTTATTAATATAAGCAATATAGCAAAACTGAATTATTTGCTGAAATACCATTTTTTCCAAAAATAATTTAGGAGATCACATCTTTATTGCTGATGTTATAATTGATGAGCAAAAGGGATTAATCAGCTCTAGTGAGGTTGGATCTGGTTATGTTACTTATATTGCTTCATCTAAATCTTCGGGTGTTATGTCATATCAAGCGAATAAATGATTATATATTTTTGGGATTTGGCTTTTAAAATTTATGTATTAACAATTGTATAGTAAATATCTTCATTAATTGATCGCATTCATTAGCAGTATAAAAATACACATAAACTCAATAAATTCACAATATAACATACACATAAACACAGATAGATAAATACTTGACTCTAAAAATAATTTTTTTCACTATTAAATTAATCCTTTGGTAATATTCATATCTCGCAATTTACAGTACGTGGATTCGAATATGTGGATTCGAATATGTGCAATGCCTGCAACTCCATCCTCCTCTCGCATCCGATGAAGCACTGCCTTCTGCTATTGCACCATCGTCAGCAACGCTGGGTATTGTCTGTATCGCGCTAAAGTTTACATCTTGATTTCTTATTGGTGCATTATCTGCATTTGAAACTAATTAGAATGTCAGTTATTGTTTTTCCCAATACAAATAAGCAGAAAAACACAAAATCAAAATGTGGGAACTTACCATTCTCTTGCATTATAGCCAAAAATGTCTGTCATCCGGAATTCTCAGAAAGGGCGGCAGGTAGCATCAGCCTCAAAATGTGTAACAGCGATTCTTGCCAACGTATCAAAATCCTTCTATATAATATTTTTGAGATAGAAGCCAAATAGATGATAATTTTTTTTACTCACAATAGCAGAAAAGATTTATTCTGATCGATACCTTATCGAATATTCCAGTACTCTTGATATAGGTAAGCGGATGAAAATCTGATAGTACATTCACTAGATGAGCGTCACATTTAGTTGCGTCAAGATGGTTCCGTAGCGTTTTGAAACCTTATACTTCAATACCGATCGAGAAACTTTCGGTAATGTGAAAGAGATGTTTGGTTTAATGGGAAACTATGCGTGACCTTAATTGAGAAGTATCGAAATTGATATGTAATTCCATAAAAAAATATCGCATAAGATCTTGACCTGCATCCATAAGATCAGTGTATATCATTCCGACCTCGTGATTATTCGAATTGTAATATTTTTAATATCAATTAGAATTAGCGAACGTTCTATGGGAGATTGAGACTTAATCTACCCGTTTGGTTTCCTGTGATGGCTCATAAATCGCCTCCACAACTGCTTTTATGCCTAATGGAACATCAGGGTAAGGCTCACACCGTCCATATAAATATCCAAACCGTTGCTATCCAGTAGATCGCTAAAAATTAATGAAGTCATTAATGAGATTGCAGTTAATGTTGATTGTTCTCTTACTTGTTGTAATGTCACTGCACTCGGTTAACAGTTTGTACAAATACCTTCCGGCCAATGAGCATGATCATTCAAGCAACGCTGCTTGACACGGTAATCTGGTTCCTCTACAAACTCTTTTGCACTTTTCGTAAATATTCATGAAAAAACATGTTTGATCAGATTCTGCCAAATAATTAGCATCGTATGGCTAAATCAATAATTGAATATCAATACAGAATTAATGTTATCCAGTAACAACTAAAAAAAAGACATCTATTTACCTATAAGGGCATGCAGTAATCGAACATGCCATGTATAGAATGCTTACAGCTAAACACGAAAAATCAAATTAAGATTTACATACTAAATAAAAAAGCAGCAATGAATACATGTCGCCTCTACTAAAAATCGACGAGCACGCACAAATTCACGCGTACAATTTCGGATCACGTCCTCGTTTAATAAAGCCACCAGACTGTTTCTCTAGATAATCATCCACAGCTTCTTGCTTTACATTCAATGCTGATAATGAACTGGTATTCGTTGTTGGCTCAAATGGTCCTACTGTTGATGCTGGCTGGCTGTTTACCAGCGAAAACTGCTGAAGTGCCTGGTTTCGCTCCGTCTTCAAAAGTTATGTATATAAGATTACCATGACTAAAAAGAAGTTCGAGAGACTAAGAAAAATCTGACAAATCATAAGGAATATTTTCTATGCGTACTTTATTCCTAACTGAGTAATGCTATGCTTTGTCCGGAAAGATATTTCGCTTGTACACTATTTTGCGAGTCTTTTGCTATTTTAAGTGTGGACGGATCAAATTTGAGTTGAATTGCAAGCTTGATAGAAAAGATATTTGTTTAGTTTTAAAAAAATTAAGTTCACATTCATAGATTCATGACTTAAAACAAAGATTCTAACCTTTTCTGCTAACGTTATAATGTCGTCATTTGGATCAACCTCAAAGCAACTCGTCCCCTCTTTAGATCGAATGCGTATAATCTTGAGTTTCAAATAGAAATCAGCAAAAAGACTATTATTATACAAGTCCTTAAATGTTTTGAAATTACCATATCGTATAGTCTTAGTTGGAAGAAAAATATAGTTACAATAAATATCCTAGGTTTTACGAATAGAAATTCGATCGTTACTTATTTGATTTTATTATCTTTATTCAAAAAATAAAACCAAATATTATTCTTCAAGAGGGGAATAAGAATACTGACTGACTTTGGAAACAGAAAATTAAAGTTGATCGAGTAACTCGATAAAGTCGTGCATATGTCAATAATTAACAAGAATCGTAAAAGGACGCGATATAGTATTAATATTTTCACTGATGTTACATACTGTTGGAGGGAACCTTTTACCACTCAAACTTTTGTTGTTTAAAATCCTCCGAACCTTTTTTAAATAATAATGATAATAATTAGCAACGCATTATTCAGCAATAACATTCAAAAAAAAATAATCCTTCACCCTCATTACCCTCATTGTCTGCAGCTGCATTTTTCTCTTTAGATTTGCCTTTTTCTTTCTTTTCGTTTCTGTTTCTCCTCTTCTTCTTGCTGACGTATTTATTCGACACGCGCGCCTCGAATTCATCTTCTTGTGGCTTTTCTTCTTTCTGTTTTTTTTTTAGACGATCCAGTCGTTTTTGTACTTGATCCAATGTACTACGCTCTACTTGCAAAAAGGAAGTATTGTCATCAACCAATCTTTTATGTTCCAATTGCAAGAACATAATAAACTCCAATTGCAAGAACATAATAAACGCCAAATCCACATCAAATAAGCTCTCACGTATACTCACGTATACTCACGTTTTTTTCCATTAATGTGATTCAAATAATTGATACTATCCTTCACCACACTTTACAATAATATCCTGGTTGTTTCGAGGCATACTAGTGCTTTGAGCCAACTGGGTCCTATTCAAGTTAGCA